AGAGGCATTGCATTAAAGGACCGTGTGTTTCCTTCTTTTCTTCCTTTTTCCTTTTACATGGCAAATACACAGCTAAGCACGAAGAAGAAAATAACAGACACCTTTGTACGTACTACCCAGCTTTAGCAAAGCTTAACATTTTGCCAAATGTCTTCAGGGTGTTTAAACAATAAATTAAACGCTGCACATCCGGTCCTTCCGGTGTCTCTAAGAGGACATCCTAGAAGGAGCCGCCTCCTCTGCGCATGCGTCACCCGGAGCTGCCCCGCCCCGTCCTCTGCGCCTTGCAGGGGCTGATCCTTCCCAGTCATCCTTCCTTGCAGGGGCTGATCCTTCCTTAGTCATCTCTAAGTCATTCTTTGGCCCCGTAAGGAAGAATTCTTTGGGTGTGGCAAAGATTTTCAAACAACAACAACAACAACCGAACTCACTTGCGTGATCCAGAAGGTTCCCCGGGAAATGTTCAGAAGTTGTCCCTTGAGACTGAAGGGCCAGGTCGTGGGAGTTCTCTGGCGGAGTCCGAGACGCAGCGTGGCTGGAGGAGGAGGCTGCCTTCCGCTGCTCTGCCTCGCGTGCATCAGTCGCAGAACCATCGCGATCGTCGCCTGGAAAAGGAGAAGGGCTCGGTGTGCGCATGCGTGTGTGGGGTCGGTGCCGCTGGGTGCGTGGTAGCCGAAGGCCATCCCCCTAGCGACGCTTTGCGATTAGGGTGGGATGAGTCTCCAGGTCAGGTGGCGTTTCAACTTGCCCTCGTCTTTGAAGGCTGCAGAGGAAAAGGCTCTTCAGGGCAGAGATGAGCAAAGGCCAGAGGCATAGAGCGTTGGGAAGGTAGCCCATTCCAGTGTAGTTAGAACGAAGGGACCCGGTGGAACGTGATGCTGGGAAGCTAGACTGAGCACAGGTCACTGGAGGCCCTGACTTCCCCCCGGAGGCATTTGGAGTTTATGTGGCGGGCAGTGCAGTGACGGAGCGGCTCTGGGTGACGGTGGTGCTGCACACACACTTATGTGGCACATTCATTTAGATAAAGTAATATGTGTTTTCGGTGTCTGGTAAAATCCAGGCAGCCTCGGGCCACCTGGGTGGCTCAGTGGGTTAAGCGTCTGACTCCGATTTCAGCTCAAGAGTTCCCTGCTTGGGATTCTCGCTCTCTCCCCTTCTCTCTCTCTCTGCCCTTCCCCTGCTTACTCACTCTCAAAATAAATAAACATTTTTTAAAAATCCAGGTGGCCTTGCAAGAAATCATGAGAGAGTAGCCTCAGACTCATGTACAGAAGATAGACCATCTCACCCACAGTCCCCAAGGGAGTTGGGGGTTGTAGAGGTGGGATTGGAGAGTGCGTGGTGGGTCTATGAGCCTCTCATCTGTATCACACCAACTCCTTCTGTTTTTCATTCATTCATTCATTCGTTCGTTCGTTCATTCATTCAGCATTTACTGGATGTGGTTATGTACCAAGAACTGTCCCAGCTGCTAGCTTCCAATGGTGGAGATGATGCCTTTGCCCTCATGTGCCTTCCGTTCTGGTGGGGGAGAGAGAAAATGGCTATGGTTAGTGTCGGGAGGGAAACTCTCCCTCTGTAAAATACCTGGAAATGTTGGCTAAAATGTAATAAACATCTTAAATTTCTTTTTTTGCGTTCAAAGAGGCTGTGGTCTGGAGAGGGACAGACATATATGCCAACAATTTGGAGGCAGTGGGGTCATTGCTACAACGAAGGGCAGCAGAAGGCATCCGGGGAGAGTCTAGGAAGGAGTGTCTGAGTCCGTCAGGGGCGATTCAGGCAGGCTTCACACATGAGATGGAATGAAAGCGGAAACTTGATGAGGAGTTCTTCCAGAGAGACAGCAAGAAGACGGAAGGTCGGAGACAGGATAAGGAGGGAGGGAGGAGGGGAGGGAGGAAGAGGATGAGGATGAGGAAGGGAAGAGGAGGAGAAGAAAGAACTCGTGCGAGAACACAGCAGCGTGGTTCCCAAAGGAGCGAGTTCTCTTACGAGGCTGGACGGGGGAGCACGTGGGTGTGGGCACTTCCGGCAGGTGATTCTGGCTAGGCTGCCAGGTCATGAAGGGCCTCATGGGTCCCACTCAGGGGCTAAGGTTTATGCTGTGGGCGATCTGGAGCAGGAGTCTAACGCGAGGACTGTTGGGGGATCAAGTGCTCGCTCAGCAGTGAGAGACCCCCAGCCCCATTCCAGGAGCCCAAGGGACACGTGGGTCCTCCCATAACAGGTCCTCCTTCACCGGAGGAGGTTTATCCCCCGGGGACAATTGGCGATGTCTAAAGATGTTTTTGGCTGGCACTCGTGGGGGCGGGGAGGATTGCAATTGGCAGCTAGTGAATAGAGCCCAGGGATGCTGTTCACGTCCTGTAATGCACAGGACGGGCCTTGCGATGAAGGATTGTCCAGTCCCGAGTGTCAGTAATGCTGAGGCTGTGAAACCCCGTCACAGGGGGAGCGGACCCAAGTGTAGAAGGAGTCTCGATCATTAGTGCTCTCTCAGCAACTCTGGTAAGCACTTAGGAGCGGAGAACATCTGCATTTTCCTGCATTTTCTCTTACTCTTGTCAAAACGCCCCGCACTCCGCCTTCTTAGGGCAAATCATAACTGATGATTTTGTAATTCTTATGTAAACACATACTATATGATACGTAATTTGTGCGGTTTTTGTTTAATATCTGCCTCCCTTACTAGACCGAAAGCCCCAGGAGAAAAAAGGTCGCTTCACCTGTCCCAGCCCCCATCACCAGCAATGACACTTAGTGTGTTTGTTAGCGCTCGCTAAGATGTGTTAATAAACAGAGAGTTCCGGTGGGAGGCAGGGAGGTTGAGACACGTGAAGTCGGCCGTGAAGGCGCTGTAAGAACTCGGGCCACTGTCACAGGGCCATGGTAACCATAGAGACAGGGGGTCACGGCTCATCTTCGTGGAGGCTACGGCCCGATCTGAGGCGGTAGGAGAGCGGCTGATGGGCTGACTCCCTCCGTGAGTGGCGCTGCCCTCCCACGCGGCCTGGATACTGAGCCAATGAGCGGGTGCTTTGGGACCGGCGAGTTTCTGCCAGCCTTGCAGTCTCCCTCCCACGATCCCACCCACGACCTGTGGCCGCTTGACGAGGCAGTCTGCGGAAGCAGCCTTGCCGGTTGCCATCGAGAAAGGAAACGGCCGAGTGAGACGTGTGGATCATCCAGCAATGACCGTGCGCAGAGGAGGCCGTGGGTCATGAGCACCGTGGCACCGTTCTCAACAGCCTACCCAAACGACCCAACCATCAACAGATGAGCGAATCAAGAAGGCCCTGCCATTTGCGACGCCATGGATAAACCTGGGGGACGCTGTGCCAAGTGAAATCAGTCAGTCACAGCAGGACAAACCGTGCCTGAGTCCACAGACATAAAGGCACCTAAGATTGTCAGCCACAGAGGCTGACAGAATGCTGGTTTCCAGGGCCTGGGGGGCGGGAGCAGGGGTCTCAATTACACTAGATGAACAGGTTCTAGGCATCCGCTAAATCCTTCACAACTGTGTTGTGCCCTGCAACATTCGCCGGGAGGGTAAATCTCAGGCTGATTGTTCTTACTACACACAAGCGAACACACACCCGGACACATACACCTGGACCCAGGGAGACTCTGGAGTTGTTGGATATTCTTATCGCCTTGATTGGGGTATTTGCGTCTGTTCGAACTCATCCAATTTACGCATTAGATACGTACAATTCTTTGTGTATCAGTCATATCTCAAGAAGGCCGTTAAAGAAGAGAGAGAGAGAGAGAGAGAGAAGCCTATCCGGTCAAATTCACGCGGGCGTGAGAAAGAGCTGAGAACTTTCATGGCTGATTATTCCTTCAAGAGTGACGCTTAACACAAATCCGCAGAGATATAGATGGGAGAGATGTGAGAAAAGGAAAAATGTTCCTGTGCTGTTTGTTGCCCAAGCCTGCCTTGTTGAACTTATAGCTTTGCACCGGGAGCCGGAGGAACCAAAAATGTGCCTATGAGGAATACTAGAATGTGGCACAGAATTTTCTGGAAGAAGAGATGGCATTAAAGAGAGGAAGCTACAAAAGATAAAACCTTAGCATGAAAGAATGATCAAGGCATTTTCAGCTGTGGAAAGACAGGGTTTGCCCCCAATGTACACTTTCCCTAACTGACATTTAATTTTTGTCTCCACCTTAACAATAAATGAGAGGCTCCTAATGCAGCTACAGCTTCAGCAAATAGTTTTTAGATTACATTTGAAGATACTCATTTAGTTTCTCCTGATTTATTTAAATTCAATGTAGCTTTCTTCTGTGTTTTTTTTTAATTTTTTTAATGTTTATTTATTTTTGAGAGAGAAAGAGAGAGACAGAGCATGAGCAGGGGAGGGGCCGAGAGAGAGAGAGAGAGAGAGAGAGAGAGAGAGAGAATCCGAAGCAGGCTCCAGGCTCTGAGCTGTCAGCACAGAGCCCGACGCGGGGCTCGAACTCCCAAACGGGGACATGGTGACCTGAGCCGAAGCCAAACGCTGAACTGAAGGAGCCACCCAGGCGCCCCCGGCTTCCTTCTGTTTTCAAAGGGTCTGTTTCTTCCAAGCATATTTCCCTACGTTTGCATGTAAAATGGGCATTATTGTTTGCCGTGGAGGGAAACACAAAGCCACGTACAGATGTTGTCATCAAAGATATTTATAGGAGAGGCATGCGCTCTGGAAAAAAATCACAGACCTCAAGCTGGGAAGCCCTGCCCGTGGTTGTCTTGCCTTTCTTTCCTCGGACCGGCAGAAGCGGAGCCGGCAGTCCTGATCAGTCCTCCCTGCACGAAAGCTTTATCTTCTTTCCGTGTGACTCACAGCCTCTGGGAATGTCTCCCAAACTGCAGCCTCGGGGTCTGGGAAGCTGCTAAATGCCACGGCTAAAAAAAATGAATTGCAACTGATGAGGAAGGTGGTCTAGACACAGCTGCAGAAGGGGTGAGCTAAGGATAAAATAGGCAACCAATGAAAACCCTTGTTAGTCTGAAAAACGAGGGACGAGCAAGTTAGGGGAAGTAAGTTTTGATTGCATCCGTGGCCCCGGAGAGAAGACGGCAGAACAATTTAATTTTGAATTTTTCTTGAGTCTTCTAATGAGGCGACGTTGGCAGAGAAAAATAAATTGCTGATAAAAGTCACGGGGCCTTGGGTAAATCCGGAAAACCAGAAGTCTGGGGAAGATTTGATTACATTTGACAGCAGAGATGAGGGATTTCAAAGTCCTGTGAGCCCTCCGTTGCCTAATTACTGATGTTGGAGGGGGGTGGCTTGATTTGTTATATTTAGAAGATATTTGGAAACCATGAGGATTTTAGCAAGATATCTCATCCTCATGCAGTGCCGCTGTGGTCCGATTGCTTTCCGATTGTTTGGACATATTTCCAGGAGGCAACTACAGGAAAGCTAGATGTTAATTTCCAAATATGCGAACACTGCCTTCGGAACAGCGATTCCCAAACTTCCAGCCTCCAAGCATCATTGTCCCGATTTTTGTCGTATCCTGGAGCCTGCTCACTCTTAGCCATTTTTTATATTTTCTCTAAGTTGTTTTGTTAAACCCCTTACTTTAAGGGAAACTTGAC